AGAGAATCCTGACTAATATGATGCATATATGTTTGGCACAAAATGTGTCTTCTTGGTTACCTATTCTCTTGATGAGAAGTGTCCTTGTGATACTAGTCAGAGACTACTTTTGCTTCCCAATTCCCTTCATCTGGAATATATTTTTCTGTCCTTTCACTTTAAGGTATGGACTGTTAAAATCTACACATTTAGTTGACAACAGAAAGATAAATTTTATTTCTTAATCTTTATGTCTTTTCATTGAATAGTTTTGAGAATGTCAATATTTAAAGTTATTGTTGAAAAGTGTGCTGATTGTTGTCATTTTATATTTTATTTTCTGTTTGTCTTCTTAGCTGTATTTTGTTTTAGTATTTACAGATATGTTTGTTTTCTTTCTAGACTCTTTTGGCTATCATTATTCTACTCTTTGATATATAGTATTTATTCCAGTGTTCTTTTTATGGTTGGTGTGGGGAACATGAATCTTTTAGCTTTTTCGTATCATGGAATTTTTTCTTTCTTATTCAAATATGCGATTAACTTTCCTGGGTATAGGAATCTGAATTACCATTCACAATATTTTAGGGTCTTCTTTATTTAAAATCTCAAATGAAAAAAAACTGTTGTTATCATGATGATTTTTGATTTATATGCAACTTTCTTTTCTCATTAGTCCTATTAATTTCTTAAGGAATACTTTTAATACTATTCATTTCTTCAGTATATTTAGTGCTTCAACATTGGATGTCATGGGGACTTTCCTTTCTGATACTGTGTAATTGGTGTCTATGTGCTTCTTTTATGTGAATGAGTACATCTTCTTTAGTTTTAGAAACTGTATTTCTATGATACTACTGAAGATGAGTTTTATGCCATTTACTTGTGATTCTTCTTCTTTATCTATGCCTATAATTTGAATATTTGATTTTTCCATGGTATTCCACAATTCCTACCTGTTCCTTTTGTGTGTTTAAAAATAGATTTTCATTATCTGCTAATGTGATCTAATTACCCTCATTTATCTTTGAGTATTGATATTCTTCCTTCTAGTTGATGCTCTTCTGAGTTTTGAATAGAATTATTGAGTCTTTCAATTCTATCTTCATTTCAACTTAGATTCTCCTCAATATGTCTATATTTTGATTTACATTCTAAAATCCTCTGTTGTTCTTTCCATTTCATTCACCTTAAGCTTGTGTTTTCTTGGGGATTATTCAAGTATTCGCTATCCTTGAGTTCATTCTCTTTAAGTTCCTCCAACTGATTATGTTTAATTCCTTGAATTCTTTGATGAATTCTGATTGCTTGTTTAAGTTCTGTCTCCTGGTATTCATCTAATTCTTATAACATTTCTTTTTTCTCTAATATTATTCTTTTGTTAATTTTTTTATTTTAATTTTAAATAGCTTGTTTTACATGTCAATCTCATTTCCCTCTCCCTCCCCTCCTCCCGCACCCCCCCCATCCTCCCATCCTATTGCCAATTCCTTCCGCATAGGGGACATCTAGAGTCTATCATTTCATTCAGGGTAGGGTCCAGGCACTTCCCTAAGAGTCCAGCCAGAGAGAGCAACCCCCTTTGTGTTATGGACACACGATGTCTGTTAGTATTCCGGGGCTACCTATGGGGTCCTGAGCAGTGGATCAGTGTTTATCCCTTGAATAGAGAACATTTCTAAAGTACTAGTGGATTTTGGATTGAGACAAAGTGTCTCGACTTTGAATATCTTTGTGATGAGACCAGAGCATATGGACATCTTGTGTATGCTGTGTATATATCTGATATATACATAGGATGCTATACTGGTGCATAGGATATGCTACTTGGCCAGAATCTAGGGGTTAGAAAAGATATCACCATAAAGTTTGTGATCACTGATTATAGGGCCAAAGTTAGATATTAGAACTAGGGAGGGTTCAGGTAGAGTAGGATCAGAAAGATTCACCCAGCTGGGATGTATGTCTTATAGATTTTGGTATGCCGTAGTTTCACTTTTATTTAGTTCTAGTAATTTTTAAAGTCCCTCCATCCTGTTTTGATACAGTAATGTGTTGTTGAGTTTTCATGAGTTTGTGTATTTTCTGTCATTCCCTTTGTTGCTAATATCCAGTATTAACTCATGGTAGTCGACAGAATGCAGGATGTGGTTACAATTTTTTATTTGTTGATACTTTCTTTGCATATCAACATGCAATCTGTTTTGGAAAATGTCCCATAGCTGCTGAGAAGAAAAAGTATTGCTTAGTGTTCAAGTAGAATATTCTGGAGATACCTGTTAGATCCATTGATTATGATGTCACTTAACCCCAGTACTTCTTTATTTAGGTTTATTCCTGATTATCTCTCCATTGCTGAGACTAGGGTATTAAAAATAAAACAAACAAACCAACAAACAAGAAACATTATCACTGCATTTTTGTCATCAATCTGTCGTTTTAAATAAAGTATGACTCTTTTATGAAATTGGGAGTCCCTTTTTGATGCATCTATGTATAAGAATGTATTATCCTATTATTGGATATTTCTTCAATTACAAAATGTCATTCCATTCACTCCTTATCATTTATGATAACTCTAGGTTTGAAATATTTCTCTTAAATATTAAAATCACTAGGCCTGACTTTTCATCTTAGTTATGTTTTCTGAGAATATTTTTTTTCTCATTTTACCCAAAGGTATTGTCTTTCATTAGTTATGAGGTACATTTCTTGGTGGCAGCAAAAATATGTGCCATTAATATTAAGAGATATTATTGAAAATGTATATTAATTCCTATCATTTTGTTGTTTTGCAAATACTTGGGCATGTTTATCTAAGTATTAATTGTAGAGCTGTTTTAGTGGTCATAAATCCTGAAATCTCTATTTATCATAGAAAATGTCATTTCTCTCTTCTAATTTTGACTGATGATTTGCTGAGTATAATAATCTAGGCTGGCAATTTTGATTTATTGAACATTTGTACAATTCCTTCTGGGTTTTGTAGTGTGCAATCAAATTAACAAATGAAGAATCAGCTGTTATTTTGATGGGCCTATCTTCATATGTGACTTCATTTTATCTCCTTTTCTTTTCAACATTCATTATTCTGTATGCTTACACTTTTGACAATTAGATGATATGCATATTTATTTTATAATCCTGTCTATTTAGTGCTCTGTATGCTTCTTGGAGCTTCATAGCATCCTTTCCCTTAAATTATGGAAGATTTCTTCTAAAATGTTTCCTATGATTTTAGTTTATGTCTCTTCAGTTTTTTATAGTGCTATAAACTTTTTTCTTGTTTTTAATTATTAATTTACTTGCTTATCTTTAAGATTTGAAGTTTTCTTTGACTGTGTGCTCTAATTTCCCTACCTTAGTTTTAGCACCTGATATTCTCTCTTCCACTTGATCAAATATATTGGTGATGCTTTCCTTTATTTTTTGTTTGAATTCATGAATTTTTCATCTCAAGTTTTATTTCATGTTGGCTTTATTTCCATTTTCATTTATTAGATGGCTTTTATTATTTCATTCAATGGTTTGAATTTTCATAGTCTTCAATCTGTAATTTGTTCATATTCATTTTGAGCTATTTGGTCATGTTTATTATTGTTATTTTCTATTAATTATCTGTGTCATTCAAGTCACTTATCTTGCTGGAAATGACTGTAAGAGTATCAATTTTTGCCATACACTTTTTTTGGTTATTCCAGTTTGTGTATTCAACATGGAACCTATGGTGGTTTCAATGAAAATGGCCCCAGAGGTCCATAGTGAGTGGCATTATTAAGAAAACTGGTCTTGTTGGAGTAAGTATGGTCCTATTGGGGAAATGCTGTCACTAGAGGTGGGCTTTAAGGTTTCAGAAGCTCAAGCCAAGCCCAGTGTCACTTTTTCCTTCTGCTGCCCGTGAATCCAGATGCAGAACTCTCAGCTACCTCTCTAGCACCATGTCACCTGCATGCTGTCATGCTTCCAAGCATGATGATGATGGAATAAACTTCTGAACTCTATGTCAGCTCCAAATAAATTATTTCCTTTATAAGAGTTGTTGTAATCATGGTGCCTTTACAGCAATAAAATTCTAACTAAGATAGGATCTACACATCTGGAATTAGATTGTTGGTGGTGTTTATTGACATGGAAATCTTGTCTAACTTTTGTAGAATGGGTATTTAGAATTCTTTTTCTTATTGTTCCAATATTGACCAGCTGTATGGGATGTAGGGTTCAGTCTTTGGGTAAATAAATGTTGATGTCTGATTGGAGTATCAAAGTAATTTTGACTCAGTTCAATCTAAGCAGAATTTCTAATCTCAGAAGAAGACCTTTTGTAAACTTTGAAAATTCTTATAACTAATCTTATGGAGTATGGAAGAGATGCTCAGAATTTTTCCTCAGGCAATGGGTGCTGATGGAATTGGCATGGTGAATCTCAGATTCCTTCCAGAAGAGGAGTGGTTAGTGTGGGGTTAGGGCTGGGTGTGGCCAAGGGAGTCTTAGGATTCATGGTCCTTAGCCATGTCATGGTGGGGTAGAGTAGGTCTAATGTCACTCTCTAGAGGAGTACAGTCCTTGAGTCTCTGGGACAGTAGAGTTGGAGTCATGAATCTATTATAATGTCTTCCTGAAAACAAGCTGCTCAAAGTGGAGTACGAAGCATGAAATTAATGATTTTTGCATGCTACTTTTACATCTTTGATGAATGAGTTTGTCACCTGTAGAAATTTCTTGGTGAAGTACTTGTGGTCATTTATTTATAGATACATATCATCTTGGGATCAGGGTACAGATGCTGTAACTTGGTCTTAAAATGCATCCCACACTGAAAACATTAAATTGTATAATTTGAGAAAAGAGAAAGTTCAAACTAAATATGGGATGCAATGGATGAAAACACTGTAAGCAGATTGTGCTATATAAGGGCAATGGAATACAAGTTTTGATGTGGTATCATTATGAAAAGGTATCTCACTAATAAAACATTTTAAATACTGTATATTTGTAAATATAACACACAAAAATTGTTCCTGTATTTTATATTTTTTAAATTTATTTTAAAAATGACAATTTCATTATATATATTCATTGCATTCATGAATCATAACATGTTATTTTAAAGATGCTTTCATTTAATAGAACTAAGTTTTCAATTATGTGCAAACATTTAAGCAAGTGAAATACAAAGTATTCAGTCATTCTTAATGTATTTGCTTACTCAATCCATTTTATCACCCTAAATCATATCAAAAGCTGCATATTGAATAATTTGTAGTAACACAGAGCGGTTATATACTCAATTGAGATCACACATGGGAAACATGAAAAACATTCAGTTTTATATGGACATTCAGACACAGAAAGTAAACATTCAACCATATATAGCAATTGGAAAATATAGCTATATACCTATAAACTAGTGCTATTAAAAATCAAGGTAGACAGGAATGACTTTAGCAATCTCTATGCAATGAAGTTTATCAATCACTGATGATAATAATGTTATCTTGAACAAAAATTAACAAGACAGTTCAGTGCAGGTTATTAATGGGCATACCTCATAGAGAGGTGATTGTTTTAATTAAAGTACATTTATTTGTAAACAAAAATCATTTAAATTTTCCCCCAAATGAAACTATAAATTGTATCCTGATGTCTTGCATTTGTAATTCTAAGATTATATATTTTGATATTATAGCATTGGAAAACCATTTTTAATAAAATTTATCCATTTAAAGGTTGTTTCATTAAAAACATGATTTTAAAAGCTAAAAATACTAAACACCTGTATATATGAATATTGAAATCCCACATAGAAAAGTATTAACAAAATTCCATGCAATTTTCTGTAGAATGCACTAGGAAGCTTTTTGAATCTGAACGTATATTTTGTTTTTCAAATAGCAAGTTAAAATGTGTGGGATATATTTACTACTAAAACCCTCTGTTTGCAACATACACACTCAATCACCTAATAGAGTTTGGTCTAGCCACTAAATGGAATTATTTATAACATTCTTGGAATATAGCTATATGAGCTACGCTTAACCATCTGGGTATTTTGCTTCTTGAGGACAATCTGCAATGGTATAGTGAAATATTTTGTTTGTTTATATATTTGCCTTTCTCTATACAAAGAGGGAAATCATTCTTATAAGTTAGTTGTATTTTGTTCTAACTTTGAGAGTAAGTTCCATTAATAGCATATAAAGTCACATTTATTAATATTAATAAAATCCCACTGTATGTACAGAAAACACATTCTCAAATGGCTAAGAAATCCCAGAGGTGAAACCCAGGTTTTAACCATGTGCATGGCCACACATCGAATATTGTCTCTTGAAGAAGCTATAGAATTTTAATTACTGAAGAGCATAGATAATTAAATAATTATACATTTTGATTGAAAAATATATGCAGTCCATTAAAATAGGGACTTAGACTCAATGCCTTAAGTGAAATTCTATACAGATGCCAATTCTGCACTTTCATTAGAACAAAAGACCACTATCGACATTAATGCAGCATAATCATTCATAATAATGATTCTATATTAATCTCCTGAGCTTGCAGAACTATAGCACATGACATATTGCATAGGACAGGCACCTGTGTGGTCTTTTTGTGACTGAGGTGGTGCATAATAATTAGATCCTAGAAAATAGTCTGTTTTCCTCTGAGAATATCTATGTCAGTGCTTATTGGCTGATGCTATCAAAGGATCAAGAATGAATACTGTTAGGCATTGTGTATAGTCATTAAAGATCTCTCTGGTTGTAGGCAGTCAATGAATGGCTTGTGGTCTAATTCCTGGCTGAATCCTGGAAATAAGCAAACAGAACAGTCATTGTTTCTTTGGCTTCACTGAGTGGCTATATACCTCAATATCACCACTTTATTTATTGCAAGCTTTGTAACTGTATATCCAAACACATACATAATAATATAACCAGAAACATTACAATGGGAAGCCCTAAATCTGCCTTAGTTTATTCCTTTACTCTTAAAATCCTGATCCAGATTGAATCTGAGATTACAAATGCCTTTAAGAAACTTGTCACCTTAGATGGGTGGTGGTGGTGCAGGCCATTAATCCTAGCACTCATGAAGCAGAGACAGGCAGATCTCTGTGAATTTTGAGGCCAGACTGGAAACCCTGTCTCAAAGAAAGAAAGAGAGAAACAAAGAAAGAAAGAAAGAAAGAAAGAAAGAAAGAAGGAAGGAAGGAAGGAAGGAAGGAAGGAAGGAAGGAAGGAAGGAAAGAAAGAAATCACCTCACAGTAAGTCAGGTTTCAGGATTCTTGACAATCTCTCTATGCTAAAGGCACTTTTAGTGTACATCTTTGAACGATAATGGAAAGGTATTATGGAATGAAAACTCTGAGTAGTTGACAGATACACTTATGTTGAATACATGAATCTTAAAATCACTACTCCAGAAAGGGAATGTCTACTACCATTTCTAGAGTTTATCTAGAAAGAAAATACAACATATTTCTGAGTGGACATAGTGATGACCAGCAGCATTCTAAACTGTAGTTTGCAATTCTTCAAATTTACGTCACTTTCTGTGCAATAAAACAAATCCATTCAACTGGAAAATATTCACACTCAATAGAATACTTCAAACTCTGGAATGCTTTTCCAGATTTCAGAAGAGCAAATTCCAATGAGTCATTTTTAAATTATAAATTTAAACTCATAGGACAGATCCGAATTTGCTAGCATAGCCAGGCATATAGTATGTGCATGTTTTCCCACCCCTGGGCTGAATTCTCAGTCCTGTATTGAAACACTTGGAGAGTAATTCATTGGAATATGCAAGACCATTTCCCTTCTTCTCAGCACATGTATTGGCAGTTTAAAGTAACTACTTTCTCTTAAGCAAACTTGTGGCTCAGGCACACATCAGTAATATATTAAACCAGTGAGATGAGATGGCAAAGTAGAAACTTCAGAGAAAGCTTAATCCTTGCAGGAATTAATTTCCCATACTGTGGAGTATCTCAGGAGAATATTATTAGCTATGTCTACTTTTATCCTGGAAATAAACGTGTTTTTTTTAAATTTGTGGCAAGATGCTGATTCATCACTGATAAGATGGTAACATGTATTTTATTTATGTCTTGCTTATCTTTCCAGCAAACAAAACTTGTGCATTATATGTATTTATTTAAGAAGTTGATTTTTTGGAGTTTTGAAGTCTGAAATACAGCCATTGTCCTACATGAAAGCACCTGTTGTTTTCTTCTAAGTGAGTTGTACAGACAGACATTTAGAATAGGATATTAAGAGATTAGTGGATTCAGGTTTGGAATTCAAACTTGAAATCTAGCTGTGCTGATAATATATAATTTCCTGTTTAATTTTATCTGTTTTCTAAGTGTTTCAAACTTACACAGGCACACCATTATTTAGGTGGGCTACAGCCATAGGTGTTTATGTAGGCTGCTTTTTATGTATTTTGGGATTATTGTGAAGTGGCTCCTGGCCAAGGCTGTTGATGAACTAGCTAAGGCTGGTCATATGTGCAAAGTGCACACTGAAATGTTGCATCACATTGTGTTTTCAAATCAAAGGAATTCTGTTCTTTGCAGTGCCTAGTGTAAGGGTTGCCACATTAACATTACAGGGTCCCTCTGAGAAGAAAAAGCACATTTTTTATATTAATCTGAGAACTCTGAACATTCACATTAAACATGCTTCTTCCTTCTTAAATGAATTGCTGTATGTAGTTAACTAGAAAAAGAAACCAGCCGGGCGGTGGTGGCACACGCCTTTAATCCCAGCACTCAGGAGGCAGAGGGAGGCTGATCTCTGTGAGTTTGAGGATGGGCTGGACCCACAGCCTCCAAAACAAAACAGAGAAACCCTGTCTCGTAAAACCAAAAAAAGAAAAAAAGAAAAAGAAACCAAAAGTAAACCATGTCTAGACCAGTGCCTGCCATAGCTGGCATAGATGGCTACATCTGACTTCTCTTTTACTGATAAAAAGGTCATCCTTTGTGTTATTATGTTTCGTTTGGGGTTTATTTTGTTCATGTGTGAATAGGTACACAATGCCTCTGCAGCTCAGGAGGGCAACATTAGATCCCTTTGTGGTGGACTTTACAGGCATTTATGACCTTCCTGAAGTAGATACTGGAGAGTGAATTCAGGTCCTCACGATTGAGTTGCAAGTGCTCCTGTGTTCTGAACACTTGTTCAGAGATGCTTGTTTGGCGTTTTAATGATGGCATTTTCAAACTCTTTGGGATCCCTCACTAATGTGCCCTTTTTATATTTTCATAGGCTTTCAAGAGATGTTTTATCAAGATGCAGGATTGACACAATCCCTTTATGAATTATTGTACTAAAACGATTTGTTTTTTATCTAAGATGATAATCTACTAAATGAATAACTGCATGACCTTGGACTCAGTGATGAACACCCTTGACATAGGCTAGGACTCTCTGACAGTATAAGCATTCTGTTACCCTTGATCTGCTCATGTCTGCAGATGATTGCAAAGAAGCATTTCCAGCTAGCAGTGCCCAGACCCTTAAGCCACTTAAGCATACACACTCAACAATGTGGCGAACATTCTCAAACTAGTGCAACTAAAGTAATTTCATTAAATAAGTACATTAAAAAAGTACAATATAGTTTCATTTATCACATGAAAATGTATGTATATAGGCACTTCAGATGTTTATGTGTTTCCGCTTGAATTATCTAGCTAACTGTCCCAGTCCTCTGTTTTCAGCGCACAAACATTACAAACGCTGGGAAGAGGTGACCCCTATAAATCACTTAGTCAATGATGATTAATTCTTTTCTCTCAACTCTAGCTTTCTTTTTAAATAACGTTTATTTTATATTCACCCAAAAGAAGTAAAAAATGAGACACACATGGGTAGCCTCAGAAGTTCCCTGGCATGGGTAAGGCCAATTGTTTCAGGATTGAAATTGGTAGGGATTGTCATAAGAAATATTCTGGTGGTCTATTCCCAAAGGGAAACTGTAACAAGAAAAATATTTTTTAAACAAATGTATTTAGAAGGTAGGCAAAAAGTTTTGCTTGTCCATCACTAGAAAGAATTTTTTTACTTTGAAGGGACGATGGATTGTGGAGTTTTTGAATGACAATGCCAAAATACAAAGTCTGTCTCCTACATGATAAAATTTACAGACAAAGACTATGAAACTCTCCACTTTTTATGTAAGTGGCATGCCTATTCACTGTTTTTGCCTTTGCCCGTATTATGGATAACATAGGGGGAAATGTTGAATTTTCTTCCTGCATTTAGAGTATTTGTTGACAAAAACAAACATCTCTTTTTTGGTAAGGTTTGTTTTTCCAGTACTATAAAACAACACTAAGATGCATTTGAATATACTTTGTATTTTCAAAAACAAACTGTGTAATTTTTTTCATTCTAGTTTCATACAGTTCTGTTAAAACCACTTTATAACAAGGGGTTGTGGGAAAGATGTAAGGAGTGAGGTGCAGACATATGAGATGCTCTCCTTTAGCTATTCCCTGTTTCTGTCATTTCATCAGAAACAAGAGAAAGTGAGGTAAATAATGTGCTCTTCCTTGTCAAATGTACATCATTGATAAAGTTCATGTAACATCAACTGAGGCAATTTAAGGTTTCCAAAACTTGTCACCTTAGGAAAAATTTGCATTTAAATTGCTCTATACAGTTTCTTCAGGGTTCTTCTCCTTGGAATGTTTATGGCACTTTTTTCATTAGTACTTACAAAATACAACTTCATAACCAGTGCATTACTACATCTAGTTTTGTCAAGAAGAGGAACTTCATTTTAAAATAGAAACATTCGTAGTGGATCTGGGCATCAATCACTCATGAAAAATGCATTATTTCTTCATATTGAAGTTACTTGAAAAGTTATCTGAAACCTCATCAGGTCTCCAGGTCTGACGTAGAAAGTTAGTCACCGGAGACTTCAGCAATGCATGCTGGCATTCCTCCACATTCTGTCCACCGTGGTGTTGATGCCAAGAACATGTTAACATCCCTCCAGGTTTTTTTATTTATAAAAATACAGCATATATCTCTGTAATAGATAAATCTCTAAGTACTATTTCAATAATTGCTGTTACATACTGAAGTGGGGATATAAGAAAGTATTTATATTGTTCAAAATGTTCTTTCTCATGTAATTTTAAAATTATGCCATGTAATAGTTTTAAACTGGGGGGATGTCTTCAATCAAACATACACACACACACACACACACACTGGTCAGGTTAGAAATTTACTTGTAGAATGTAAACAGACTTTTAAAAATGCTGAGTGTTTTCTCAATTCTTTGCAACCAAGACACTCTCAAACAAATCCAATCCTGCTTTGAAGAAACCCTGAGCTGAATTAATGCTATTCAGCACATCGGACAGGGCCTCTTGAAAGGTCTCATTAGATGCCAGTGGACTGCGGTGCTCCCAAGCCTCCTTGAGGATGGAAAACTGGCTTGTCTTCCCATCAAGATGGTACAGGATGTTTCTAAAAGAAACATGAAATAGTAAATGTATTATGTTTCTATATCAAAACCTTACCAGGAATAGTGCCAAAAGCAATAATGTCTGCAAAATAATGAAGAAATTATTAAAAAAATACAGCATTAGTGTTCATCAACACAAAATGAGTGAATGCACAGAGATACAGTTCATGGGGAGGATCAGAGGTCATCAAGAACTCTACCCTTCCTGACTGAATCACACAATGCTATGTCATATCATAAAAAGGTTTTCTAAAAATTTGAGTGAAATACTTGAAAAGTTTCTAGATCTAATTACCAGAAAATATAGAGGACAGAGTGGTTAAATGATAGCACCATGTATCTTAGCACATTGTTGAGTATGGAAAAACTAGTAGTGTATTATACAAATAAAATGGAGAATTGATAAAGTGTGAGTGAACCTACAGCAGAGATTTTCTGGGTCTTATCCTATGGACACATTTGGCTGGACAACCCTTTGCTTCAGTAGCTACTCCATGCATCCTTGGCCTCCAGGAATAGGCATCAGTAGCTTGCTTCTGGTAATGGTTAAATTTTTAGGTTTTTTGTTTGTTTTGTTTGTTTGCTGGGTAACTTGGCATACTGTAGAATCACCTCTCAAGAGAGTCTTAGTGAGGGCTTATCTCATTCAGGCTAATCTATTGTCATGTCTGTAGGGGAATTGTTTGCATTGTGTGTATTGATGTAGGAAGGTGCAGTCCTCTGTGGGATTCAGGATATCCTAGACTGAGGTGCTTCAATTTTCTGTCACCTTGATGACTCAGTGATACATATTAATCCAAAATTCTGTCATAAAACCTTTTTTCCTTGTAAGGCTTTTTGTCAGGGCATTTTATTACAACAGCAGAACTAACAAAGACTCCTTTATTTGTAAGAAACAGAAATATCTTAAGATTTCCCCCATAATAATCCTAATTGACCAAAAATGACTCCAACTGCAAAAAGAAATGTTATGTGTGAATTTAATGGAGACTGGAGTTATAGAAAATACAGGAGAATCAAACTGATTATGAGTGAATAACCATTGAAGCTGAATAATAGAATTATACTATTCTCTTTCCTTTCACATGTGGTTGACCTCTACAAACATCTCTTTACAATTTTGAGGTGTGTAATTAGACAGTGTCATGTAACCTATCCAAATGTCTGAGAAAAAGAAATTCATTATGGTAAGTCTAACTGTGCTTCATTTATCGATATATAAAGATATTTAGGCTGAAAGGTACAATACTTTACATTGATTGACATTAGAATTTTGTATGACAGAGATGTGGGACTAGAGTGAGCTACCACCCGAGGTTTTTATAAGAAGAAAAAGAGACTAACTATGTTGTTTTCAAGAGGAAGGCATAAGAAAATGGAACCACTTAGACAAAAAAGTGATAAAATCACAAATTGGTAGTTGAGTTTCAGAAGTTTAAGAGATGGCCATTGCATGGTATTTATTTATAATTCTCCCTGACATTAAGTCCACTAAAGTTTGTGATCATTACTTCTTTGTTTGTCCTTGTTTCTCTGCCTCCACTTTTTGGAACTTCCAACTATCTATTTGTAGTGAATACTTAGCACAGAATTCTACAAGACCCATGAAAACCCTAAAAAGTCATCTCTTGGCATGAACAGCACTTCTCTAATACTTGCTATACCTTCTTCTTTCTGTTTTATTAATTGCCCATATACTCCAAGGATACATCATGATGTTGCTGCTTTACACGAACTGATAAAGAATTTTGCTACTCTTTGTGGTTGTCTAAGTTACCAAGAGAAATATCTTAGTTAAGGTTTCCTTTGCTAAGATAAGGCACCATGGTCAGAAGCAATTTTGGCAATAAGTAATTTGTTTCATTTACACTTCTACACCATGGTCCATCATTGAAAGAAGTAGAGTCAGGAACCTGAAAGTAGAAGCTGAATCAGAGACCATGAAAGAACACTGCTTTAAGGTTTGATGGCCATGGCTTGTTCACCCTGCATTCTAATAGCATTCAAGAGCACAGGCACAGGGTGTTACCAGCATCAGTGAGCTGGGCCTTCCCCTGCCATTCAAGCAAGAAAATGTATACTAGACAGATTGCCTACATGCCTGTCCAATGGAGGTATTTTTCTGATTAAGATTTTTCTCTTCCCAGGTGAGCTTAGCTTGAGTCAAGTTGGAGTAAAACCTGACCAGCACAGGGGTCTTCAGTCTTCATGCTTGGCTTATCTAAATGATTATTAATCACAGTTCAAAGGAAGCTACTAACTACTGCTACTATAATTCAATTATTTTTCACTTTAAACTTTAAGAAACGAGCTTTGTATCCTTGCTGAGATGGTTCAGTTGATTATGAGTACATAAGAACCTTGAATTAAAATCTGATTTGAGTTTTCAAAATTAGTTTTCAGGATTAGGAGTTATTGTGTTTTGAAAGAAGTGTACCACTGATGGTCATTTTACAGCTTCAATAGACTTTCACATTCCCGATGTTAATATAAAACACAACATCCTCCACCTACACATGCTTTCCTGCTGCCATACTTTTCTCTACTAGCATGAACTCTAACCCTCTAAAACCATTATCCCAATCAAATGCTTTCTACTACAAGTTGCTTTCATTGTGATCTTTTGTCACAGCAATAGAAAAGACAGGAACTGATGCAGAGGCCATGGAATTGCATTCATTATGACTTGTTCCTTATGACTTGCTCAGCCTATTTTCTTACAGCGCCTAGGAACACAAGTCTGTGAATGGTATTGTCCATAGTGAGCTGGAACTTCCCACATATCATCAACTAAGACAATGCACCAACATGATGTCCCTGGGCCAATATGGTGGGGGCATTTTTTCCAATTGTGTTTCTTTCTTCTAAAATGACTTTAGCTTGTTCAAGTTGACATAAAACGAGCCAGCACACCTGTCTTCTAATGCTGATACAAAGAACCTGAACATGTTTGCCCACTGTGGGGGAGAAGACAGAAACTGCTTGCCACTGTATTCCAGAAGTATTTCTTCATACCAGAAGGAAATTCTGAAACTAGACTTTGAAAATCATTTCAAAACAGCAACCCACAAATTTTTGTGCATTGAATTTCAACAATGTTCTTGATGGAATCATCCTTTATATTTCTCCTCTAATGCAGAGTACTTTCCTGCTTCATGCTCAGTGTCAGTGCTCTATAATATTATAGCAGAGGCTATTAAATTTGTCTATTGGAACATCCTGAAACACTTCAAATTGTTTAGTGGGATAGGGAGATGGCTCACTGCTAAACTCTTGCCACGCAAGCTTGAGGATCAGAGTCCAGATCCCAAAGACTCATGAAAATCCTGGATGGGCACTATAGTCATACTGATTCCAGCCTCATATTTCTGGGTTGTAGATCTCCAGAACAAGCTGGCTTGCTAGACTACCAATATCTACACATTCTGGGTTTTACTTAGACTGTGCTTCCTTATATACTGTGAATTAGACATTAAGAAAGACTTTGGACCTTGGCCTCCATCTGCACAGGTACCCTTATGCAGGCACACACATGTATACTCACACACATGCATACACACACGCATGTACAACACACACATACACACACACACACACACACACACACACACACACGGGTAAAATTTTTGGTGAAAGGATGTAGACCCAGAAAATTCTAGATGCCTTACATGACTCTACAGTTTTGTTTTGTCTTCTAGTCTGTATATTAACTATATCATGACACACACTCCCCAGGTCCTCAGTGAGTTCTGCATTTAGCAAGAGATCTTGTTTTGTCCTCAAACCAGTTTTTCCCAGAGAAATTTTTAATTATATAAAATACATGATTTAATTAGCACTATTAAAATTAGTAACATTAAATATGTAAGAAATAATGATTCCATCAAAATGACCCTGAATGCTTTGAAAGACTCATACAGATTAACTGATACATTAGTGTCTCTGACTTATATTTGGAGAGACAAATGGGAAGATTGCTGGAAAACGGAGGGGGATAATAGAAAAATCAAAGAACAAAGATGCTTTCATATTGCTTTGCAAGTGTACATTTCTTGGGCTATGATGATGAAATGGAAACTAGAAAGTTTCAGGTCATGTATCACCCATATGATTTACATTACTAAAGAAATCTAGAGTTCTTATTCTCTGAATGATACCCAGAGAAAGGTCCTTCATCTGAGAGCAAAAGGTCATTGGCAAATGTTTAGTTAAACTGCTCTTTCAAACATCTGAACATCTACTGATTAAGCCTGTGTTGAATTTGCAAAGGATGTTGACGCTTCTCAACAAGATGTAACTTCACCTTGAACTCAAGTGTAGAGGGTCATGGACTAAAGGTCTGTAAGCAAGGTGAATCAGGCACTGTTTGGTTATCCAAAGTAAAGAGGTCTGTATTTACCAGACTCATGTATACAGACTTTGCTTCAATAAGATCCACCAGTCCATCTTCTTGGTACCCAGCCATGAGTTTCTTAATAATTGACTATATTCATAATTCTTTTGTTTTTACAATTCAGTTGAAACAATTCCATTAAGTTCTTCTATACCCTAAACCCTTTGTCAACTCTGCTTATAAAATAAGAATTAATTAAATAACGGCTACAATGTTCCTTTACTAATTATACTAGACTCTGCTTTTTAATAAATGATCCAATCTGTTCTTAACTAACTTAAACTAAAAATAGTTAAAATATATGTGTATTTATTTAAAAATTATATTTCAGGGATGTTTAAAAATCTAGTTTGCAAGATCTAAGTGTCACTATCTAGAAGTTTTATTGTTATTGATTTTTTAATTAACAGAATTCTCCTTGACTAAAGCCTCATTTCTGGAATCTTACTATTTAATCATCCAAAAATAATAATAATGCATGTACCTCTGAATTGGACCCTTTGGAACTGTAGATCTAAGTCAAGAGGAAAGATGTTAATGGGTTCTTTGAAACAGATGGGCTGGAACATATCACCTTGACATTTGTTCCACACTCACTGAATATTCTCT